GTACCAGCAAACTGGAATTGTATGAATGTGGGCAAAAAAACTACGTCTGGGACTGGACATGAGAAAAAAAGTATATGGGAGATAGATAGAGGAGACAAGACCAAAACATGAATTTGTATGGACTTGTGTGGAGCCTCATGGGCAAAGAAAACAAGCTGAGTACCATGAAAGAGAGAGAAAATATTTTTTGCAGTGTTATTGTGGAGGAATATGAATCAAAGAGGCCAGAAAGAGGAGTTAGCAGTAAAAAGGACAAGCACTCCAGCTGTTGCAAGGAAAGCAGAGGGCTACTCACATTCATACGTGTGTAAAGCAGAGCAGCATTTGCTGGGGGTTTTACAAAAGGCTGTTTGCAGAAATAAGTTTGTCAGCCAAAGTAAAGAGAAAAAGATCAAGGGATTGCAATAAATGGCATTTAACATAAAAATGAGTAAAATTTACAATTCAGTTAACTTGTTAAATGTTAAAAAATCAGCAAACAATAGACACAATTTGTTTTGTTCAGAGCCCAGAGGTAGAGACCAAATCCTCTAAATTAATTTCTGAAAAAGCTGGGTTTTTTTCCAAACAGGTCTGGATCCTATTCGTTGTAGAATATACTGATTACCAACTATTTTTAAGAGCTTTACACAAACATTATTTCTTTTGTTGTGTGAAATGCAGAATCAGCCATCTGGCAAATGCCCCAGAGCTAAAATCTTTTACATGACATATAATTCAAAATGATTAAATATACAACAGAAAATAGCTATAGTATTGCACTTAAAATAGCATGAACTTTTACTGCCGATCAAAACTGATTTCTTTAGCTTAACAAGTATCCAAAGAACAATTATTTGAAGAGCTTTTAAGAGTTTCAATATGTAGGAACTAAACCTCATCTAAATTCAGTATCTTAAGTCAAATAAAAAAGAAACAAATGGACAAAAGATTAAATGGTCCTGCGTTAGAAGTAGACATTTAAATCTATGGGAAGCTAAATTCATTCGAACAAAAATACTATATTCCCTCTGTATGTGCATTGCTGGGGCTTTCCTCTCCATTGCTAAGGGCATCTGCCAGAACAACTCTCACATTCTTAGGCAATGACTAGGGACTAGCCTGGAATCAGACTGTTCATCCACTCCCTCCATCAGCAGAATGGGCAATTTCAAAGCAGAATGGGGAATAAAGCTCCGTGCACGATCCCCAAGTGCAGTCAATCTTCTCCTGCACCACAGTCGACTTTAACTTAAACTTGCTGTCTTTTTTCCAGAAATACTCCAGGCCTGAAAAATTGCCAGGTCCTCATCCCACACCCAGTTCTCCAGTAGTTTATGAGAAAGAGCACGCAAACATCTGCATGTATTTGGGGTACATGAGGGTAGGTACAGAAATATTACTCTGTGTAATTATTGAGTGGTTATGGCTCTGTTTCTCAGCTACATTTTTCAGACAAGTCAAAGTCTACATTTCCCAAAAAGCACTTGGTGCAACTCAGATTTGAGTTGTAAGAAAAAATTCTAAATGTAGGAGATTTACCTCACGGATCTTTACGTTTGGGCAAATCTGAAATGGATGAATATACCACTGCTGACTTCCCAAAAAATTTTGCTTCTAAATTCTTTCAGACCAAGCATGAAAACCTTCATCTCAAGCTAACCTGAGGAAACTGTAAGTCTGTGATTACCAAGGCTTAGGATTAAAATGGCTTTGCTCCCTTGCCTGTGGAGTTGGGTCAGCCTCACAACCAAGGAACCTCACACGTTCTAACCCCAGGCTTTGCTAACCTGGAACAAAATAATGTTCTCAAGTCTTGACCTTTTCAGCTCATAATTATTCCTGAAGTCTGCAAAACTTTCAGGCTTGTAGAAATTCTAAGCTGACTGCTAGCTTGTTCGGGACTGCAGCAGCACCAAAACCTTCTGCTCTTATTTAAGACACTTGTCCTGGTTTTCTGGGACTAATCCTGCTCTTAATAACATGCATGTGAATTCAATTACCTGACTGAGCTTTCAGTGCTCAGGAGCAGGAGACTTTGTGTCCTCCTGCTCTTGGTGTTCTAGGAGGAGATGCACATATTTCAGGTAAAACTGATGGCAGCATAGAAAGCTACTCTGTGCACACACATGCTAATTAAACCTGAAGATGGAATATGAAAGTAGGAGCACAAATATTCTCACATTACAAAGAGCAAAAGCATATTTTATACTATTTAACCCATCCTTGCAAGAACCACAGGAGAAACAGGGCAATTTTTATCAGAACTATCTTTGCTTTTCACCACAAGAGGTGACCCAGACAATCTCCTGTAATCTCTTCCATCTCAGTATAACAAAATTTCTATTTTTGATGGTATTTTCTCTTTCAAAGCTATGGGCTTCTCTGATATCTGTGAGTCCTAAAACCTGAATGTCACAGCTCTTTGTGTACCTCCTTGTTTTACATTAAACATAGCATCATATATTTTCTGCTTTTCACTGAAAAACTGGGAAATCTTCCCATCTTTCTATTGACCAAACTCAATGTTACAAAGGTGCCAGGAGTCCTATTTCTGGAACCAAAAAAAAAAGAAGAAAAAGTAATACTCCTAATGAAACAGGAGTCCAGTCCCAGTATCTATTCAAAATAAACAATGTCTCTTCTTACAAATAAGCATTCCCATCCTTATTTATGGGTCCAATTTCGTGTACTTCGCAATACTGGAAAAAAAAAAAGGTTGAAGAACACATGGAGAATCAAGAGAAATTTGAGCATCCCTGAGGAAACAGAGGTTGAGGGATGGAGTAATAACTGCAAGATTGTAATGAGAATTTGGAAAACTCTGCTAGATAAAAACGTATAACAAAACTGTTGCTGTCATTTCATTCCCTGGGCCTGATTACGTTTTCATGAAGGGCCTTTGCACTGCTTTAGCAGTAAGAGCTCTCTAAGTAAATGAGTATCAGACCTCCATGCTAGTGAAATGCAAGGCTTGCCAAATTTAAGAGGAGTCTCTACGGTACTCCACATCTACTCATCTTGACAAAGAAGTGGTGGAAGCAAACTGAGTCATTTCAAATGGCATCTGTATTCTTCTTTTCTGGAACAGTACCTGGACGCTGCCCCTTTGGAGGCAAGTCAGTGCCAAGGCCGTGGGCTTCCTTGCCCTCTTTCACAAAGAGCCCAGAAACAATCAGAAATTGCTTCATAATAGGGCCAGGGTGAAAGGTGAGAACGGGAGTATTCTGAAAGCCTGCTGCCAGACCTGAGGAAGATAGTGTCATTTTGGTAAACCTGTCAAGCTGTTGTAAGAACTTCCTGAATGCTTCCTACCATCTGCTTTTGATGCTTTCAAGACTTGGCTGGAAGCCTGGAGGTTTTCCTGCTCCTTCCTGCCCAACCTATAATGGAGTAATTCTGGATCTGTTCCCTGTCATCCCAGCCTCTTCCTCAGTTTCTTCTGCTTACAGCTGGGTTTTTTTAATTTTCTTTTTTTTTCCTTACTGCAGTGGCCTTGTGCCCTGAATCATCTCTCCTGGGGCAGTAGGAGTTCCTCTGATGTTGAACAAGTGCTGGGCTGTTCAATTGTGTTCGTGTTCTTGAGAGGAAGGGTCTGGCCTACACGACACATTCCTTCTTCACACTCACATCAACAAGTTCATCTTTGTGTACAGGGCTCTGGATGGAAGGGCCACACAAAGCACATCTCCAGTGGCTGTCAGGCTGCACGCTGCGCTGCTCTGCTCGGTGAGTATTGATTGATATCACTTGTAGGGTTTGAGATAAATGTCATAAAGGACAATGAGTTCAAAGAACAGATTAAAAAACAATAAATTGAATTCCAAGGCGTTCCCTCCTGTACTAATCTGTGTAGGTTCCTGTGTTTTTGGAAAGCATGTTGCTTATCTTCCTCATCAGTAGGCCCACTGCATTCCAGTATTTTGGATCAATGCCATTTGTAATAATCTAGATCAGTTTTTATTCAACGTTTATAAAACAGGCCATGTATCATAGGGTATATTTTATAGCAGATGGTATCTCCAATTCATTTACCCCCCTTCACTTCCCTCCTCCAATATCATAGTGCATACTTATAAAGGCTGTGGAAAGTAGAGCTTAGCAGAATTGTTTTCAACAAATAGTAAATGGGAGTTTCCAAGCAACAAAACTGTTAAACTGTGGCACGCTGAAAATGAAACGTTCTGTCTTCTAGAAAAAACAGGTCTTGCAATTTGGAAATTTGTATTTAAAAAAAAAAAAAAAAAAAGTAGTAGGGTAGGTGGCTGCTTTCAGAAAGAATTTTCATTTAAAAAAAAATCTGCAGTTTAAAGGTGCTAAACAGAAATGTTAAACAGCCAGAACACAAAGCGTTTGTTTCAGGTCAGATTCCATGTTTTGAGTTATCACAGTGTCAGCTGTTTGGGGAATCTTCTGTGTGTTTTTAATTTGAAAAGTTTCTCTTTTGGCTTGCTGAGAAACTGATTTTCCCCAAGGCTTATTAACCTGGGGACTCATCTACAAGACCACATATTTGCCAGGCTCTACTCTAAACACAGCTCTCCAAGGTGACAAGGAGGTTTCCTGCCCAGCAAGGCATTTAAACCCAGCCCTAAGACTCACTTCAGTCAAATGGACTGTTTTAACGTGGAGATAAGCACATGCTTAAGCACTTTGCTGGTCCACAACACAGAGCTGAACAGCTTTCAGGATCAGTGATGTACACCTCACAACCACTCCCGTGCTTGAGCTCATAATGCAAGAGTTTGAAGACTTTCCTGAGATTAACATACCAAGGAGTAATAAAATATATTTATGCATATCTGCTTGGGAATACTTCATTGTAATATTGCAAAATATGATTTATGCAGCCCTGGGGATACACAAATCGCTGATAAAAATAAATAAGTAAAAAATAGTTTAGCTCAGTGATGACAGAATCACATCATGGATTTTTTTATGGTTTAGCTTTAATCACTCATCCTAGAAGATATGACAAATAAACTCATCTTAGTTTACCTTGCAGAAGAATTTAATCATACCTGCGTTTCTCAGAAACCTGAGTTTGTAGTCAACAATAATTCTGGTTTCAGGATTATAGAATCCATCACCACAGTCGTAACAACCTTCTGGGATTTTCCTGGGAGGATCCAGATTTGTAAGATGAGAAATGCCTGAAGAAGAAAAACAAAGTTTTGCTTTATTTTGCCTTTTCATTTATACTTGTGGTTTTGATCGAGATAACTAACAAATATTACATCTCCATGGCATTTGCTATAAAAACAATGCAGTTACCTTAAATTTTATAAAATATTTTGCCAATTTTGCAGATAGAGAAAATGAAAATGGAAAAATCCATACACAAAGAGTGTGATGAAAAGCTGTCACTTTGATTTCTTCATTCATGGTCCTATGAGCCAGTCCACTAAGCTAACATTACAAATATGACCCCAAACTCCAAATTGGGGCTGGGAGAGTCTTGCTGGCCTCACAGGAGAGTTATATGTCATTGATAAAGTATTCTATGTATAAAGAGGAGTATTTTATGTTCTATGATACATATTTTACTTGCTTGTTCCTTATAAATCTTTTCACCTTTTGACTACAGACAAGTAATAATGTTACAAAACTCTTTAGCAAAAAAAATATGGACTGGACACAAATGTTTATTTGATATCTGCTAGAAAGCTGCACGGGACAGACGTGTTCAAACTTTATTTGATGTTCTGGATGTGAATGAATTGCTTTTGCTCAACTTTACCACATTAACAGCACATTGCTAATGCAGTGAAGGTGAAATACATAAAAGGGTTAATCAGGCTATCAAAAGCTGTAGATACCAAAGGCCTGTCCTGCGGGTCATCAGGCCAGAGGAGACCACGCTGTGGATGTCAGGCTGCATCCTGCACTGGTGGAAGGTGGTGTCAGCATTCTTCTGCAGCATCGTATGGCCAGCTCCTGAAATTTGCCAGAGCATTTCTGCTCCATGTTACTCATGCGGCCGAATTAATCTTTCTTAAGCAAAGTTGTTAGTTTAATTCCTTCCAGACTCTTAAGACCGCAAACACAATTCAGTACCTGCTGGTTTCAGACCAGAACAGATTTCTGTGTAAAATCTTCTGTCATAGCCGTCACAGTAATGCCATTTTTTATCTTTGTATTCGAGACCATCTGCAAAAGTGTATTTCCCCTGAAAAACATGTTCAAGCACAGACTTAATAAACATGATGGATGGACGGAGCACGAACAAGGCCAACGCTCCCCCTGCCAAAA